ATCTTATTACACGGATGTGATGTGAACATTTATGAGAGGGCGAAATCGTAGATTCTCCCTGTACATTTTTGTTCTGAGGATCATTGTGCGTGATTTGACATTTTTGTTTCAATTTTCTGGAATTTTTTTGGGATTTCTGGCAGATTTAAAGGCGGTTTTGAGCGATGAAGAAGTCTACAACGAAGCAGCCATGGAGGCATTTCCAGTGTACAACAAGTCTCACATGATTTGCCTTGAAATGCCCAGTAGAGCTGGTGATGTGAGTTATCTTCTTAATCTGCGTCGAAATGATTCTTAAGGGTGTTAGTTATACTGAATTGTAGCTCTGTTCTAGTTTATTGGATTAGGTTTACGCATGTTGTTTTCATAGGAGTTGTGATCTAAATTGGCAAAAGAAATGAATAGTTATTGGCTCACTCAAACTGAGATAACTCAGGCAGAGTTTCTGATATTAGTCTCTCTTTGAGGCATGATACTTTGGTTTTTATTCTTTTAGCTGCATAACAACTTGAGATTAGTGATCTTTGAAACAGTGCTTTTAAATCTCGCAGGAGTTCTGAAACCTTGTTGTTGGAAATTAGAACATTTCTCGAGAGCTTAGAGTGTCTTGGGGTTAGAGAGTTTTCATGAACTTGTGGCTGATATCTTAAGTAACACTTCTTTTCTTGTTTATTGAAAATGTTTTTTGAATACCATCTGGTGTTTATCTGCTGGGACATTTTTTTTTGTGTGTGTCTCAGGTGATTGTTTCGTCGTACAGTGAAATTACTGAGAATGAGTACCTTGATCCAAGAAGTGCCCAGGTTGCTATAGTTGATCATGTTAAACAGGTACATTAACAATTGTCTTTGTTCTTCTGTATAGCGTGATTTCTGAATCCAATTCTAAGCTTACATCTCTTTTCGTTGACCAGATTTGCACAAAAGTACGGCCTGCAAATGATGAAGAACTCCCGTCTTCGTATATTGAGGAATACAGGTATGATTTTACAACTAGCTAGAGGATTTAAGACCAGGTTAATTCATCAGAAGCAGTTTGAGAAGTACTTTATTGGTCTTTTGTCTTTCCGCTGAATATATATGTTGAAAAGGTTGTTTTGTCCATAACAGATATGCTCTTGATGCTGAAATCCAGAGATACGTTAGTGAATCTTACCCGAAAGGTGTGTCTGCAGTTAACTGTGTGAAGGGGAAAGATGCTGATGGTCCAGGGTCTGACTTTGAGCTTGTCGTTATAATTACTGCTATGAAACTAAGTCCGCAGAACTTCTGGTGTGTACAGAATGACCTTCTTCTACCTTGTTATCCATTCTTTTAGCAATAGCTATGATTGAGTTTCTCCACAACAACAAACATTTGCCTGAAATAAATTTTGAGTGACCAAAACTGGGGTGTTGTGCAGTAATGGAAGTTGGAGATCTGTATGGAACATTGATTTCCAGGATGAATCCCAGGTGCTTAACATAAAAGGGAAACTGCAGGTAACTACGCATGATTTGTGACTCATTTTTTCTTCGTATAAGTTTACTATCAATGTGCGTCGTCTAAGTATATCTCTTTCTCTTCAGGTAGGAGCCCATTATTTCGAAGAGGGAAATGTGGAATTAGACGCGAAAAATGAGTTCCAAGACTCGACAATATTTCAGGTACCTTCACTTCCAATATCCACGTACTCAAGATTATCTACAATGAATTTTCTTCAAAATCAAATACAATTATCTCATTAGAGGCCAATTTTTCTTGTCTCATTCTTCAATTCTAACATGTATGATACCGCAAGAGAACAAACGTAGACATTGATATAACCTTATCACTGATTTCTTGTTTTCATTTTCAGTCCGCGGATGATTGCGCAATTGGCATAGCCAATATTATCCGGCACCATGAGACAGAATATCTTGCAGCTCTAGAGGTCCCCAAATAGCAACTTATTTAATCATTCGTTCGCCATTTCGTTTACCGTTAATATTGCTTCTGACCGTCTCTGCATCATCAGGTAGCGTATTCGAAGTTGCCCGATAACACTTTCAAGGTAATTTTCTCTTCAAAATAACTAACTTTGTGGCTAGAAATCTCATCAAGAAACTCCCCGCGATGCTCGAGGTGTTATACAGAAGTCTCAGTTCTGATTTTGGGATTTTTTTGGCAGGATCTGAGGAGGAAACTTCCGGTAACACGAACTCTTTTCCCATGGCAAAACACCTTACAGTTTAGTTTAACCAGAGAGGTTGAGAAAGAACTTGGACTTGGCAAGTGACTGATCATCAAATCTAAAACCTTTTTAAAAGTTTCACTCTCTTCTCCTCTATCTTGTCTAGTTTATGTGATTTCATTATGCAAGTCAAGGGGAAAAAAGTATATTAGATATCATTGTTTATGTTGTTGTGCCTTCGTTCTCTTGGCTTTTTCCGAAGAAAATGATGTACAAAACGCACGTGTTTAATTGCAGTGCGAGTGTAGATGGATCTTGGATTTTTAAAATGATTTAGCAAAAAGCACCGATGCCGGAAATCGAACCCGGTTCTCCTAGGTGAAAACCAGATGTCCTAACCGCTGGACGATATCGGATTTCTTGTCAACTTATTCATAAACATTATAAAAGACCACAAATAGTGAAATAAAATGTTTGTGTTAGCCACATTTTTTTGGATAAAATCTTCACAAAATAAATTTTTTTGGAAAATAGTCCTTGAATCCCCTTAATAATTTTTTTCTCCAAAAATAGCCCTTTCTCTTATAAAATTTTGCTGAATTTGATAGGGCCCAGGGCTCATGCCCCTTTGGCCTACTCCTAGAGCCGGGCATGTTTACTACATTCATGAAAACAAGAAACACACTTTGAATAGAATGAGTTAGAACTAAGGATTAGCAAAGTTGGAAGAGATGTCACAAGATATACTGAACTGAACCAAACCTTAAGAGATGTCAAAGTTGGAAGAGATGTCACAAACCTTAAATCTGGACAATTTTCTTGCTTGTTTTGGATCTAATTTTTGGTATTTTCATACTCAGCCTGCAGAATTTAATTGATATATGTTTCGATATCAGATGATGATGAGGAAGATGGTGCAAATATTGTTCAAAGTTTTCTTATGACGAAAACTTTGAATCACTTCAGCCTCAGGATCCGCTGGAGCATGTATACAACATAATTCTCACGGCTGCAACCCAAGCAAATATTTATGAAGGTTGAGTACCACTCTCGCAATAGTTTGAGGTTTGTTGAGGCTTGTAACAAGAATTAAATAAAGTAATGATAGGTGTAATTGTTAAATTTTTAAACTTAATGCTTTTTTTAAAACTATCTTTTAGTATTGGGTGTAAAAAGTAAAAACTCTCACACACTTTTTTCTGCAGCTTATGTACGTTGAAACACAGAAGAGAAAAGAGCGAGGCTTCAAAATCCTTTTGCTTTTACGGATTCTGGCTTGAGGAAGAAGATGAAGAAGTTTTTTGGTACATTCTTCATCAAATCGACCATGGAATCACGTTTGAACATCATTTTTAGTTTCTCTGGTGTTTCTAATTTCGGAAATTTTGACTTACGACTGGCCATTTTACTTGAGAGAATTTAGGGTTTGATTTATGTTAGAGATGCGATTTGACGGCCAGATTTTGTTATAGGGAAACATAATGCGATTGGAAACACTGGTGTGAAGAATCCAACTCAGAGACTAGGTCGAATTGCTTCCATAACGGAATGGTATAGAAAGTCAAAGGAAGAAAGGGCTAAGTTTGCTCATGACAAGAGTTTTGAACCTCTTGAGCCTCAAGACCCGTTGGGGCAGGCGTACAACAGAATCCTCACTACTGCAACCCAAGCACTCTTTAAGAGGATTGAGTTTCACTCTCGCAACAATCCCAAGTTCGTCAAAGCTTGTAACAAAGTCGCTAGTTTCTCGCACAAGACAAATTCAAAGACGGTTCTATTTCTCATCGGGAAGCCTTCCTCCTTCAGTAGTCGGGAATCTATGCTCTACCGCGGTTTCTCATACCCGCCGGAATTGTTATCGGAGTACAATAAGAGCATCATGTCAGAGAAGGCAAAGAACGAGCTAAAGAATGTGAAGGAAAACTTTAACACCATTGCTTCATTTGTCAAAGGTAGAGAAATATTATCTTATCTTGTTTTCATGTGCAACATTATTATATATTCTTTTACTAATCACTTTTTTCATTTCAACAGTGGATAAGAGCATTGTTAGAATGGGCAAAACTGTAGGAAAAAATACTATTTCGTTGATGGTGATGAAGAGAGGTGCACCCTATGGAGTCTCAAGTGTGGAAATGGATAATGCAAGGAAGTTCTTTCTGGAGAATGCAAGAAAGAACCAG